CAGAGGGAGGTCATGTTACCCGCCAGGGACACAGCTGGTTCGTGGCAGGCCCAGATTAGAACCTCCAGTGTCCACCCTCCACTCCCAGAAAACTCTTAAAATAACATAAGGAACTGGAACACACAGGCAAATGTGCCCCAGAATTAGATTCTATAAAATGAAAACTAATGAACGACTCAAGGTGAGGTGCTGGCCATTCCTCTCCACTGGTTATATTTATCCAATCAGCAGACAAAACTGATGGCAATTTTCAGGAGATGTCAGTTTAGGACTTTTGTTCCCTCTTTCTTTTCAAATCCTTTAAAGTCATAGTATTAAGAATGTCTCCTTGATTTCTTTAAGATGCTATTTAAAACAAACATCAAACTAAATAAAATGTGTCATGACTTTGCTTTCTCATTCATAAGCAAAGCCTTTTATGAACATGCTCTGGGGAACCTGTATAGTGGAAAAATCACTTTCCAATCTTGGTTAGTAAGAATGTCCCCAAAACATTGGTGGCATTATATATGGATATAAACAAGCACCTATCCCCAGGATTGGGGGAGGGGAGAGTGAAGTAAAATAAAAGTTAGTAGCATCATTTGCATGAATAGGTCACAGTTCACACAGTTCTAACAGAGAAAGCTCCAACAGCTTCATCAACAAAAGGCTTAGGGCCTTGAAAATCATTTCACGGAGGTACCTGTGCCTGTTTTCATACATAAAGTACTACGTAAGCATCATACAGATTTCCCTCTTTGTGGGGAGTTTTACTTTTATCGCTAGTTAATTCATATCATAATTTCTAGTTTTAGAAAATGTAGAATAATGATTCCATATCCATTTGGTCCAACCCCAATTCTTCAGATAATGCCATGCACATTTTATTATTCATTTTGATTTGAACAAAAGGCAAGACTTTCCCCTCTTCTGCCCAGAAACTACCACTGGGAAATTAATATTCAAGATGAACAATGAACTCATCTCATGGCCTGTGAACTCACTCAGTGGTTGCTAGGAAGCTTGTGAATTCTTAGGATTACTTTAGATTTGGTAGCAGCAATTGGGAACTTAAGCAGTCATATAAGGCATGGTCTTCGAGATTTAAAGTTTCAGAATTTTCTAATTGTCCTTTTTGCAAGATCTCGTTAGTTTTATAGGTGCCTGTTCTAACCTCTTGAGCTTAAGTGTAGTTTATCCTGAAGGTAAAGGAAAAGCCAAGGCTAAATGTCAAGCCTATTGCTATAAATCACATTTCACAGTGGTAATTACTTATTAGTGGAGAACAGACTTTGAAAGGGTGCTGTCTCATTAGAAAGCCATTATAGAAGCCTGCAATTTTGCTTGAACTACCTACTGTGTGATAGGTATGCTAGACCAAAAGAACAGCTATTAATATCTATTTCTAAAAATTTCCAAGGATCTCTCATTTCCTAAATTTTTTTTAAAAAAATGATTGTTTCCCATAATCTTCAAGAATACTGGGGTGGGAGGGAGCTTCTAAAAACAGTCTCCTAACTGAAGTTATTTTAAGTTATTTAGTATATCTCTGAAGAGGCTTATCTTGTCCTTTGAACCCAGGTAATTTACCCACAACAAAAAACCCTTTTTACTAAAAATAAAGTATGATAATATGAGTAGTTGTTAAACCAAATGCCTGGAGAAATAGAAGAAATGTGAAAAGTCTCATGTGTTTCTAAGCTGCTTCATTTTCCACTCCATTTTATGTGACAAAGGCTGTTTATATCCAGTCACTAACCTGATACAAGTGGATTTCCTTTACATTTCCTAGGGGGAAGAGAACTTCTTATAAATGATCGCAAAGCCTGTCAATATACCATCTATTTCTGTCAGTACTCACAGTTTGAAAGGAGCCATATCTGAAAAGGAAATAGACATGATTCACTCCCCCCACCCCCCCCCAAAAGTTGCACATGGGAAAGACTCCACCTACTCTCCCAATGTTCACTGTAGGTGTTTGTCTTAATATTTACTATTTCTTTCCATTAGCAGCAACACCTGCTTTTTATTCCATATATGAACTAACATTTAAAATAAAGAATAAATGATAGGCCTCCCTCCCTGGGCAAAAACTATGTTACATCCAACCCTATAATCCCACGAAAATCTAGCAAGGCAGTCTGCTCTTGGGGACAGTCTATAAAATGCTGAATGAATGACATCACTCTTCTCCCCACTACCTTTTGATCTTCTGGCTCTTGGCATTAATCTGGACAGAAAACCACCAATCTGAAGTGGGTTACCCTTCATTGTCACCCTAAGACTATCTTACAATTTGTAGGTCAAGATATGAAATAAGAGAATCAAATAAAACTAAAAGCTTCCTCCTCAAGTCCTCAAAAATGCCTTGCAGCACCAGCAATAGCAGAGAAGTTCTTTTGCAAAGAATGAAAATATGATCCTACTGAAGCAATGTCAAGATAGACAAAAACAGGCTCCACAGAAATGTGCCTGAAATTGTTAAGGAGTCTTGCAGTTTGGTGAAGCAATTATGGCCACCTGCCCTCCTATAGCCTCATACCTGCTATCAGGACTGGTTCCTTAAGAGGTGCAAGAAAGAAGGTAACTGCTAAGTGTGGAATGAAGACATTCAAACCCTAAGTACATGAAACCCAGGATTATCTGAACACTCAGCGCAGACATGGGTTTATGTACATATGTGTTTTGAGGTTAGGTTTGGATTTAAGTGTATTTCAAAATTTACTACCACAAGTCTAAAGAATACAGCAACTAACAGCAGTGACTTAAATGACTGAAGTATAAACTGTAGTTGTGACTTCCTTTACAAATTTGGCTTTTCATGAAAGAGAAAAATCAAAGGAGACTTATTGCCAATATAGTACAACATCCTTATGTCACCTGATTTTGCAATAAAAAAGACGGTTATTTTATTTAGGTCTTATATTCATGGAAATGTGGTCACAAGACATTTTTAAAGCATGAGACACTGACCCCAGTTAAAAAGGACCTGCTGTTTTAGGAGAAAGATAGTAAAGCTAGACTATTAGTACCAACCACAAGCTTAAAACAATCTTCCCAGTTAAGACAGGGTTTAGAATGATTTGGTATAGTTTGTGGTATAACATAAAATCTCGGTTCTCCCATTACATTGTGTTTAGAAGAAAATTAATTTTTTCCAGAATGAAAAATAAATAAAAATCGATGCCTTACACATCATGACATTCGAGTGGTTAACAACAAGTGAGGAGAAAGCAACGAAAGATTATCAGCATTTTCCTCCTTCAGCATTTCCTCAAGTATTTTATCCCTGGGCTCCCAAATCACAAACCAAAGCCATTCTGTTGTGTTTCCAAAAAGGACTGGCTCTTGGGGAAATGCTTTTAACAGCACTGCATTTTAAGATGCAATGTTTTCTGAAGCTTTCACTTCCATTTACCGTTTTGTTTGTCCTTCCTGTCTGACGTGCAAATACATGATACGGCCTCCATTCTTTCCATACAACCTAATTCAAAGCAACATACGTTAAATCCACACAGAATCATGTGAGCATTCAAACCGCATACACACCATTACCCCACAGAATGCATTCAATGAGCTCCAACATAGTTCTCTGCGTGCAAATCGGAGGAGATGTATGCAGAGCCATCCGGAACCGTGCATGGAACCTGTTCCCTTTTAAGAAAAGGGGGCTGTTTAAATCCCCACGAAGGTAACCGGCCACAATGCAGGAGCGAGCAAGCCCGGCACTGCAGGCAACACTGCACGCAGGCTCGTCCACAAAGCCCAAGGAGGCTGCAGCGCGGAGCTTGCAGTCATTTATCTCCCTGCAGCCAAAACGCCCGGCTCGCCCCCCTCCCTCGTTTTACCTAACTAATAGCTCTCAAACCCCATATTGAGAGGGCCTGCTGTGGATCTTGCGGAGGTACAAAATGGTGGATGTGAGCTAATTTTTCCCTGCTTTCCCCATAACTTATCGCATCCATCACCGCCCGTGCTCTCCCGCAAGCACCCGGCCGCGGCACCGAGCACGCCCCGCGGACCCGGCCCGGGGCCGAAACGCGGCTACCAACCTGACGTCATGTAGCCCCGCGAAGCCTGGGGCGCGAAGGCCGCGGGGAAGCGCTTGTGCAGGCGGTAGTCCTTCTCGCTGCGGGACCTCATGCGGTCCGAGGCCCGATCCGAGAAATCCGAGCTAGGCCAGGCTCGCCGCAAGGTTGTGCTCCGGGTCTTCTTCATGGTGGGGAGGGCGACCTGCTGCCCCGATCCTCCGGGCCTCAGCGCCGGGGCGCAGCGCGCTGCTTCATCAGTCTACGGCGGGCACGACCCGGGCGGGCTCTGCGCACATTTTCCCAGCCCCTCCTCGTCGGCGTCTACACCGCCAGCGGCGGGTCCGGCCCTCCCCACGCCCCCCCACACCCCCACGGCGAAGGCTCCGATTTTACACACGTCCCACAATGCATTACACTTCATTTGCAATCCGCCCGGCTTATAGCTTCCAGATTCCTGGGGGGAAAGGCACGTTAGGAGGCTCCCCGGCCAGGAGGAGGCGGGGAGGGGGCGGGCGGGGTGGGGGCGCCGAGACTTGCAGCGTGAAAGCAATGGGAGCGCAGACAATGGCCCGATTCAGCGCAGGAGTGCTTAGCCAACTGTGAGCCACCGCACAAAAGACTCAAGCAAACGAGGAAGCCGAGGCCTCCGGGGCTGACCCGGGATCGGGCGCCCGGGAAGCCGGAGGGGCGGCTGGAGACCCACCGCGCCGGGTGGCTCAGTGCGAGGCGTGGGGATGACAGCGTCCGAGTCTTGTCCCCTCGGGCCTCTCCGCCGCGCGGCCCGCAGTCCCCGGCGCAGGCTGGCTCTGCCTCCCCCGCAGTCCTCGGGAGGCAGTCTTCATTACAGAGGCTCGGGCCGGGGGCGCGTGTGCACAGGGAACCGAGCAGCCTCTGCGGACCGTGGCTGCGGCAGGCGGGCTCCTGCGGAAGCCGGGAAGAACCCGAGTCGTCCCCGCGACTGCAGCGCCTCGTCAATCTTCCTCCTCCCGAGGCTCGGGGTGGGGTGCCGTGTGTGGGTGGGTGCGCCGACACACATGTGCCCCCTACACATGCATGCTCCTACTTACTGGCCGAGGCGGCGACGCGAGCCATGGCTGCCAAGGATGCGGAGCCCGCCGACCGACCCCCGTACGGTGGCACGGCTGCTCCGTCTCGAGCGCGCAGAATGGCTACTGAAGGGCAGGAAGCAGGACAGCCGCCCAGTCTCATGCTAATCACCGAGCAGCCTTCAGTCAGAGCGCGGATCGTGTCAGGCTTCTCATTTTCATGTAAAACACCCTGCGGCGGCGGCGCTGGGACCTTGGCGGGTGCCCCAGCGCGAAGTCGGCGCTCGGATATTTACATATTTTTAGGATGGCCCCTCCCCCTCGCAGAGACAGCGAGCTCGCCTTCGTGGGAACCGGAGATCTGCGGCGCCCTGCCTTGCCCACCTGCGCCAACCCCGAAGTCAGCCAGAGCCAGAGGGAGGGGGCGCCACCGCGAGCTCTCCGGCAGCCGCAAACGCCGGGCGCCCTGTCCACACCGCCGGGAAGACGCAGTGCCAGTGGCCTCCGGCTCTTCCTCGCTCCCTTCTCGATCCCCGGTGTAAGTCACCACCAGCCGGCTACGCTGCATTCAAGTCCACAGCCCTTTACGCGGCACGGCTCTGCACAGCTGTGTCTGTTCCAACAACCAATCGCTAAAGGACAACAATGCGCGCGGCGAGCGAGAGGAGGAGGGGGCGATGCGCCGCCCGGGCCAGGGCGCAGGGCCGGGGACGCGGGGCCCGGACCCAGAGGTCGCGCCGAGTTACAGGCACCCCGCCACAGTGCTGCTAACCCCGACGACGCTCCGCCCCTGCCGTTTTTGCAAAAACGCTTATTTCGCCATTCGGGTTTCCAAAAATGCTTTGGTGCTGTAAACAACAACAAAAATAAATCTGATTTCCTTTTTTCAACAACGCATTTTGACGTGTTTGCGCATTTCTTTCGTCTTTGAGAACGCAACGTTCAAAATCATTTTTATGCTTGTTTCATATTCACAGGTGCCAAGATACAAGACATTAAATCTCAATGGGGATATGCTCTAAGCAGGCTGACACCAACAAAAAAAAAAAGCCAGCGCGTTCTAAATGGTTAGGATTCAGGAGGTTCTAGCACAATCTGGTGCTATTCCAAGGTTGGAATTCTTTGGGGGCCAAGAAGGTTCTTGGAGAACCAGGCAGAAGGGGGCAGGGTTAAGCCATAGGCATTATAGAATCTAGAACTGGAGTTTCCATCATTCAGTATCTCAAACCTGCCCTCTGTAACCTGGGCCCGTGTAACTATCTCTTGGAACACCCGGGGTAAATAAATAATCATTAAGTATCATATGGAACTTATATTTACATTCATCAAAATTTATTACTAACTGTAAACCAATTAGGTAATGTTCAGTGGCATTTTGGGGGATAGTCCCTCAAAAGCCACATTTTGTGAAATGCCTCCTTACCTGGAAGAGAATTGCTAAGAACAGAAAGACTACAGCTTTAGAAGCTATAGAAGGCTAACTGTGTAAAGGACCATAAAGGTAATAAAAACAATTGTATTAATGAATGTAGGAGAATTGACATTTAGATATCTCAATTCCATTCAACAATTACTCGATACCTCTCATGAGCCAAAAGTGGTTATATGAATGATTATATAATAGTTAAAACTTAAGGCTAATGATGATTGCTATGGCAACTGTGATAGTCATTCATTGAGCAAGTAATTATTGACCGTCTAGTAGATGCTAACATTGTGATGGATGCTGAGCAAACAGAACACCATACATGGCCCCATGCAGCTAATGGTCTAGTAGGGGAGAGATACAGTAACCAAATAAGTGCACAAATAGTGTGGAATTCTATGAAGAAAAATAATCTGTATAGGAAATGACAGTTGAGCTGAGATCTGCAGCGTGAGGAGCCACCCAAGCAAAGAATGGGGGGAAATGGTGTTTCAGAAAGTGGGAACAGCCTGTGCAAAGGCCCCGAGGTAGAAAATAATCTTGGCTTCTGTTGGAAGATGTGAAAAAAGGTCAATGTGGCTGGAACTAGAGCATAAGAAGAGACAGGTTTGAGATGAGGTCGTTGAGGGAGGGAAGAGCCAGATCAGGCAAAGACTTGCAGGCCACGTTCAAGGTTCTACTTTCAATTCCCAGGGCAGTGTGGACCACTGAAGGGTTTTAAGCAAAGAAGGGGTGCTAGTTTGAGAATTTCTACCTAAAAAGATCTTAGAGGATGAATCTGTTTGAAGGGAGGGGTCAGCTAGGAATATTTCTGGAAAGTAAGTGTGAATCACACTTCACTGAAAACTAAGAAAATATTAATAGTTCGTATGAAAGAATGGAGGTGAGTTGATGGCTATTTGGGAGGAAGAGCTAACTGACCGAGGCTTTGTCCACAGGCACATTTGCAAAATGTGTGTTTTTGCCTTCCTTAACCCAGGCTCCAAACTGCTAGTTACAATTTTATTTCTTCTCATCCCACCTCTGGCAACGTGTGAGCAGGAAACAGTGAAGGAGTGATACCTGCCCAGCACCCTTCACCCCCATGCCCAGGGACAGCAGAACGCTGGTGGGGTGAACTTTTATCTCCACACCAGCTCCCTGTTTAAAGAAATTAATTTAATCATATGAAGCTATCTCCATAGCCCAAAGCATGTCTACTTATTTATGAATAATTTGAAAAGGCAAGTAGAAATCTTTTCCTGGACTACTTCAGAATATTTCCTAGTAGAGGCAGACTTTGGAGATATCGTGGGTTCAGTTCCAGACCATTCCAATAAATTGAATATTGCAATAAAGCAAGTCACACGAATTTTTTGTTTCCCAGAGCATAAAAAAGTTATGTTTACACTACTGTAGTCTATTAAGTGTGCAATATAGCCTTATGTCTAAAAATGCACATACCTCAATTTAAAAATATTCTATTGCTAATGATCATCTGAGCCTTTGTAATCTTTTTGCTGGTGGAGGGTCTTGCCTTGATGTTGATGGCTGCTGACTGATCACTGTGGTGGTTGCTAACTTTGGGGCAGCTGTGGCAATTTCTTAAAAGAAGACAACAATGAAAAGACAACAATGAAGTTGGACACATCGATTGACTCTTCCTTTTACAAAAGATTTCTTTCTAGCACGCGATGCTGTTGACAGCATTTTACCCAGAGTAGACCTTCTTTCAGAATTGAAGTTAATCCTCTCAAACCCTGCTGTTGCTTTATCAACTAAATTTACATAATATTTTAAATCCTTAGTTGTCATTTCAACAATGTTCACAGCATCTTCACCAGGAGTAGATTCCATCTCAAGAAAGCACTTTCTTTGTTCATCCACAAGAAGCAACTCTTTATCCATTCAAGTTTTATCATGAGATTGTAGCAATTCAGTTACATCTTCAGGATACACTTATAATTCTAGTTTTCTTGCTATTTCCTCCACATCTGCAGTTATTAATATTTCCTCCATGGAAGTCTTGAACCCCTCAAGGTCATCCATGAGAGTCGGAATCAACTTCTTCCAAACTAATATTAATGTTGATATTCATGACCTCCTCTCATGAAACACGAATGTTCTTAATCTAGAATGGTGAATTCTTTCCAGGTTTCCAATTTACTTTCCCAGATCCATCAGAGGAATCATGTTCTATGGCAGCTACAGCCTCACAAAATATATTTCTTAAATAATAAGGCTGGAAAGTTGAAATTATTCCTTGATCCATGGGCTATGCAGAATGAATGCTGTGTTAGCAGGCATGAAAACAACATTAATATCCCTGTACATCTCCAGCAGAGGTCTTGGGTGGCCAGGTGCACTGTCAATAAGCAGGAATATTTTGAAAGAAATATTTTTTTCTGAGCAGTAGGTCTCAACAATGGCCTTAAAATATTTAGTAAACCATGCTGCAAACAGATATGATGTCATCCAGGGTTTCTTGTTGCATTTATAGAGCCCAGGCAAAGTAGCTTTAGCATGATTCTTAAGAGCCCTAGGATTTTTGGAATGATAAACGAGCACTGGGTTCAACTTAAAGTCACCAGCTGCATTAGCTCCTAGCAAGAGTCAGCCTGTCCCCTGAAGCTTTGAAGCCAGGCATTGACTTCTCCTCTCTAGCTGTGAAAGTTCTAGCTGACTTCTGCTCAATAAACCTTGTTACTTGAAGCAAACCTCAGAATCTGTTTTTATTCCACACATGCTATATATCTGGTGATATCTACTGCTGCCTTATTTGGCAAAATATCTATAAGGCTCTTTTATCAAGCTTTCAAGTCTGTCCTCAAAATGATTAAAATATTTTCATCAAAATCAGAAGAGTTCGTTAATCAGGCTGTTCATTTAACTAAAAGAAACTAGCTCACCATGACCTTGGTCTACAGGCCCTAAGTCCAGCTTTGCAATCACATTTTTTATGCTGTCTCAGTTTTTAAGCTGTCTCATACCAAAATACTGTCTTTGCAAATTAGCATGTGCAGCAGCTATATTTGTTCATTTGAACAATCTAAAGGTATACCCACAAGGCTTCCAGTAAGCAAAGATGGCACCAAAATATCATTTACAAAGCCAGGAGCCACCAGGCATGCTCTCACAGAGAACAGACTTCCTCTAGAAAGACCTAAGGTTTTTCTGAAACCCAAACAGACAAACAACAGCCTTTCTCACACGGAATCTAACAAACTTCTGAATGAAACAATAGTTGATTTGTGCCACGGAACCTCCTCACAAGTTGAGAGAAAAGAATAGAAGTTTAATTGTCCGATTTATATGATTGACAATTTTAACAATTCACAAAGTAAATCTTTAAATTTTCCCCATTCATCTCAGGCTTACCTCGCGTAAACAAATGTAACTTTTGCTTCTTCTTACAGGCTCCAGTAGGTAGGACAAGTTCTCTACTGGACCATCTAAGACTCTCTCCATGACGTCTTCGTGAACTTCTTCATGCAGCTCCTGTTTGACTAACCCTGAAAGACTCGCTAAAAATCGCAATATTGGTGGTTTGTTCAGATGATAGTGACTGGCACTAACCTTGTCAAACAAAAGTGTAATTCTCACCCTTTTATAAAGAAAAATGCATACCTTATTCTTTATGTTGAACAAGTCCTTGAAGTATTTTGCTACAAGATAATCGGTGGACTTTTGTGCAATCGAAAATATTGTCATGGTTAGTCCCCATCCCATTATCAACTCGTGACAATCATGTGAGCTGTAAACCCATTTAACGAGCACAGATAAACTGCAATTGAAGAGCACACACTGAAAGGAAAAAGACGGCACAGGGCCGCACAGAACGGCTCCCACCAGATCATCCTTAAGTGGCACATGCCACCAGACACACTCACCCAGCGCCAATCCCGGTATCAATTTTTAACACATCATTTCCTTTGTACTTTTTACTTAAAAGTTCACGATAAATGCAAGTTCTCACATTTTCTTCTGATGCCCCAATGAATCACGCTGGGCACTCATCGCAATGTGTATAATACATCGAACTATGCACATTTCTCAGCAACGTCATTTCCCGTCTCAGGACTTCTTAGGAGCTGCCCTGTTGGCATAGGATGCCTGTCACCTCCTTCGCCTCCTAGAAAACTCTGACCCATCCTTCAAGAT